ATTGCACTCCAGCCTGGGTGAAACAGGGAAACTCTGTCTCAAAATAAAAAAGGAGGGAAAGAAGAGAAGAAGTTACCTGATTATCTTTATTTACTGATCCCCAGCTGTGTGCCAGTGATCTTGTTGGTACTTAAATATGTATATTATAGGAAAAACTATGTTAACTTCTTTTTAGAGACTAAAAAAAAATGATAGCATGGAGTTATTAACTATCTTAAGAAAAGTTACATCTACAGATAAATTAATACATGCTGATATGGCTGGTTTATACACCTCTCCTTCCTCGAAAACCATCCAGTTAATGCTTTTTGATAATCTATCTGTGGCATGCAGGTGCCTGGCACAGAGATATAGAAACGTTTGAGTCTGTCAATAAAGGAGATCGACAAATGAGTCACCAATTATAACATGGCCTACTTTTTTCTGTGCGAAAGTATGTGCATCATTCTGAAAGCCTCAGAAAGGATAACTAACTTGGCTTAAGTGGCATCCCCACTGAGAAGCCTATTTTCAACTTCAGTCATCTGCAGCTGAGCCACAGTGATAAGAGTTATGAAGGCAGAAGAAGGATGAGAGGAGATCCCAGGCAGACACGAGGATGTGCACAGGCAGACTCCCCTTCCCTTCCATAAAATTCAGTTCAATTAGGGAGTTCATTTTCCTGGTTCAACAGAACGGCAGTATAAAAGCATATAAGATACATCTACCGATTGCCTCTTTTTTAATAATTAAAATCTCCTAGACAAAATTTTTATTGTATATTTATGGAGAGATTCTTTCTGAGTCCCAGAAATGAGTAACATGCTATATTGGACATGAGTAAATATTGACTGATGAAAAACGTTGTGTATATATTCACTGAGAAAACTTGTTTCTCTGTACTTCGGTAAGTATAAAGAGTTCAGATAAAAGAACACTTACCTTTGGGAGCTCAGTGTAGTAAACGAGTCATCTATGCAGACGTGCAGCAAATCATTATGAACTACGACAGTGATAGGTGTGCTATGACCTAGAGGCATAAAGCAAAGGTGCCTAATCCCTCGTGCTTAATACCAGAAGTCAGATTTACCAACGTCTTTGAATACAGCTGTTTGAATATCAGTCTAGAGATCTCATTCTGCAAGTAAGACCATGAAGTGTTCATTTTGTATTAACTTCTATGTTGATGCTGTTTTTCTTTGATGATTATAATGATGATGGTGATGATGAAATACAGTTGGTCTTAAAACACACAGAAAACTGCCGAACTCTGTTGCTCCAACAAAAATTTAGGAGCATATATAGGCTACAGTAATGATACCATTTGGGTCAACTGCAGTGATATGCTTTCCCAAGGTATCTCGTCAATGACAGGACCATTAAAATCAGGACCTATACAGATGTTCAATGTTGACTGCCCTCAGCAATTAAGAACTCACTAGGGCCATAAAGTAAAAGGAGCAATCTTTCTTTATTATCTGTGACTGCTAGAGATGCTCTTGGATCACAGGTCTAAGGGTGAGCCCATCATCAAATACAAATTATTGGAAGCACTGTGGTTTGCCTTTCATATGTAAAGTTTTATTGTGTTGTTGTAATTGTTTACTATAGATGAACAAATGAGTAAGGAGGTTTGTTAGCCACATAGATTCGGGGAGAACAAAGAACTCTGTTTTGCTCTTGCCTCTTTTTTATCAGTTGATAAGGCAGCAGAGGGATGTCACTGGAAACAACAGCTTTGCCATTAAAGGTAATGCAAGATTTTAAGAAACTACTGCTATTGTTTATTTGAGGCCATAAGCTCATGGAAAACTACACTGAATCCAGGGTAATTATTTCGCCTCCCATTGACACTAGCCATAAGCCAAGGAGATAGGCTTGCATGCTAGTTTTTAACCTTGTGTTTCCTGGGATGCCAGGCTTCTCCTGAGAATAAATGGTGGTAGTCATTTCAAGGATGAGACTTATAGTAAGATGGACAGTTGAACAACATGTAACTGTTCGTTTTGAACTAAAACAGTTAACTGCTGAGCTTTCTGCACTGGAGGCTTTTCAAGCAGTCATTTACTTTTCTTTTCTTTTCTTTTTTTTCTTTTTTTTGAGACAGATTCTTGCACTATTGCCCAGGCTGGAGTGCAATGGAGAAATCTGAGCTCACTGCAACCTCCGCCTGCCGGGTTCACGCAATGTTCCTGCCTCAGCCTCCTGAGTACCTGGGATTACAGGCACACATCACCACACCTGGCTAATTTTTTATTTTTTTGAGACGGAGTTTTGCTCTTGTTACTCAGGCTGGAGTGCAATGGCGCGATTTCGGCTCACCGCAACCTCCGCCTCCTGGGCTCAGGCGATTCTCCTGCCTCAGCCTCCTAAGTAGCTGGGATTACAGGCACGTGCCACCACGCCCAGCTAGTTTTTTGTATTTTCAGTAGAGACGGGGATTCACCATGTTGACCAGGATGGTCTTGATCTCTCGACCTCGTGATCCACCCGCCTCGGCCTCCCAAAGTGCTGGGATTACAGACTTGAGCCACTGCACCCGGCCTAATTTTTTTTTTTTTTTTTTTTTAAGTAGAGATGGGGTTTCACTATGTTGGTCAGATGGGTCTCAAACTCTTGACCTTGTGATCTGCCCACCTCAGCCTCCCAAAGTGCTGGGATTACAGGCGTGAGCCACCATACCTGGCCTCATTTTCTGTTTTAATGCTCATGACTGTGGTCTTGTCAGAAGTCACCACCCGCGGATCCCGTTAATGCCTCAGTGTGGGAAGAGTCACCACCCATAGCCTACTAGTTGGTGCAGTATTAGTTGCTGCTTGGATTCAAGAAGATTCCAGTGATGAAAACGTCCAAATGCCTGTCCCATGTCTATATGAGGGAAATTATGAAACCCTTATTAGGAAATACCTGCTTCCTGGGGGAAGAAGAAAGTAGGATTTAATGTTCCAAGCTTAGGCTCTGAATTTCAGGCCCTGTATCAATCAGGGAAAACTTACTGACAGCGGTAACAGGGCCTTAAGGAGACTTCTTTTCTCCAGATGAAGAGCAATTAAGTTAGCTAGCCCTCAGATTCTTTGAGTTGGGAAAATGAGTTTAAGTTTAAGTAGAGTTCTGGGAATGTCCCCAGGACAATGATTAATGATTAACTTCAGAAAATCCAGACCTTTCTAGCTCTTTCGCTTTCTTTCTCTTTACCTCTCTTCTCTAGTCCTCCCTTCCCTTCCTCCTAACTTTTTTCTTTTGTTTTAATCCTTCCGTCATTCCTTTATTCTTTCATTTCTCATTTGACTCTCTATTATATACCAGGAACTATACCTATGAATATAAAGTGTATAAAGAGAAGAACCCCCAGTACCTTTATTGGGTATCTGTGTGTATGTATCTTTTGCATTTGTGTGTGTGTGTTAGTGGAAGGGTATGCCTTCACATTGGAAAAAAACAAAAATAATTCTTTTTTTTTTTTTTTTTTAGACATAGTCTTGCTCTGTCTCCCAGGCTGGAGTGCAGTGGCATGCTGCTGTCTTACTGTAACCTCCGCCTCCTGGGTTCAAGCAATTATCCTGCCTCAGTCTCCTGAGTAGCTGGGACTACAAACCCCTGCCACCACACTCGACTAATTTTTGTATTTTTAGCAGAGATTGGGTTTCACCATATTGGCCAGGCTGGTCTTGAACTCCTGACCTTGTGATCTGGCCATCTTGGCCTCCCAAAGTGCCGGGATTACAGGCATGAGCCAGGCACTTGGCCAAAAAAAATTCTTCATAACAAACTCTAATAAGGATCTTACAGGATTTATAACAAACACTTGCTGATAGGAGGAAAAGGCTTTCCCTGTCGTAAATGAGACATGTTTAACAGAGGAAGTGACTTTTCAGTTGTGTCTTAAACTATGATTCAGAGGGTTAGGTGAAGCCAGAGAAGAGTATCTCAAACTGAAAACAGAAGCTTACAGAGGCTCACAGAGGGGTGAGGAAATGAATATGGCACTTTCCGAGAACGGCAACATTTTTCAGTGTGGCAGGCGATGGGCCAGCAAAAGTGACGTGGACCCAGTCTGTGTAGCGTGGTGGATACCACACTAGGCCCTGGAGGGATGAGTACTTTTAACATCTGCATTTTCTAACCTGGATTGAGTGGCTGGGCTAAGTGGTGACGGGCAGGCAGAGGTATCAATTTGGAGGCATTTCACTGTTTTCTATCTAGAAATGGAATTTCTGCAAAGCCTGTTTTCTGTGTAGAAATGGAAGTTCTGTAAAGCCTGATTTTTTTTCAAAAAGTCTGGATGTTCCCAAGTTTAATTAATCTTGTATAAAAATCCTACAGTGTGATTGCCATATTATTTACGTTACAGAATAATAATAATTTTCTATTTAATAGAGCTCACTGCAAGATTACACAAAATAATGTATCTCTAAGGCATTTTAAATAGGCGTTGATTTTGCTTATACATATGGTTTCAGGCATATATCAGAAAGTGAGGTGCATCTATATATTTCTCTTTACACTGATTTGACAATACAGAGAATGGTCACTCGGCTGTAACTGCTGCTACATTGATTGAGTCATGGGATTTGTTCATAGGGCAGTAGTAGGTGCAAGTTTCAAATGAAAAAATTAATTAGATTAGTGAGCTATGTAAATCACTGTTCAAGTCACCCAACTAAAGAAGCATGCCTGGCATCTGCCTAATAAGTTTTGAAGGTTTAATACACTGTCACTGGGGTTGATGCAAGAGTACACACAGAACATGTGTCCGGCCTGTTTGCAAGTCTCAGCTAATAGCACACAACATCCTTGCTAGAGTGCAGCCTGGCTTTCATCAAGTGACATTTTCATTACCGTTTTTAGTTGAGGTGGAAATTTTGCTGTCGGGCTGTATATATAAATAGAGTAGATATATTCGAAGCACTGTGAGTTTAGATGCCTCTGGATATTAAAAGTCTGGGGGCTCTGCCGGGTTCTTCTAAGGGACAGGTGAAGTCATTAATGTGGATGTTTCTTTTCATGTTTCTCTTTCTTAGGTCTGTGATGGGGTCAAACAAAGAACCAGACCTTGTGCATCTTGAGGCCAGAACTGTGGATGGTCGTAAGTAAATCAATTTTGCTGCAATGTTCTTAGTGCTATTAGTTCTATGAATCTGTCATGAACGGACTCTGTGTAATAATCTCATGATGTATGCATAGTAATGGTGGATATGTGCTTTCTGGGGATTTGGGATTGCAGGGGTGACCTGCTGCTTTTGACTCTAAGCTAGTAAGGTGCAGGTGTCTTCTGTTCAGAAGAGCTAAGGATAGGCCCACAGGCACAATGAATGGCACAGTGGCAATAATCATGTGATTTGGCATGAAGGCTTGTCTTCAGTGATGTGAAATAGTCTTAATAGTTTTTCATAAATATATATATATGTATATATATATTTAAATTTATAAATATATAGATTATCTAGAAATGTGTCTATTTGGATAGTGGCGACACTCGCACAGCCCTCTCATTCAATCAAAGTGTCTTTCCAGGTAAAGAGAAAATCTCCAAACTCCTGCTTCCTAAAGTGTTTTGTTGTTGTTGATGCAGCTCCTGTTTTGTGTTGAGTTGTTTCTTCAGTCTCCTTATTTTGTCAGACATCATCCAGGCTGTGCCTCACTCTCTGGTTTGGAGACTCACAAAACACTTGGAAAGAATAAAACAAAGAGAGAAATTTTCTGGGTCCCCATCAGAAGCAGCAGGAGGGGAGACAGTTGAGTGCATTGCCCCCCTTCAGTAGTTCTCCTCAACTCTGGATGGGTATGCTACATTGAAGGACAGGACGACGCTTCATGGCCTCATGACAACGTTGTAGATTGTTACTCTCATTTCCCATATGGAGAAACAAAGGCGTAGAAAGCTTAAGTAATAATATACCTAAGCTCATATGGTAAATAAATAGACGAGAGTGATGTCTATCTCACAAGGCCCGTCCAGGTGGGAATTCAAGAAACCAATGCATATAACATACTTCACACAGTGCATGACCTGTCAAACTGTTGAACGCTGTAATGGATGTTTCCTTCCCCTTCTCTGGTACAGAGGATCCTCAGAAGGGCTAATCATTTGCGGGGATACTGCTAGGCCTAGGATAGAGCGCTCCAGGTGAGAGGGGTAAAAGAAAATGAGCAAAAGGGGAAACTGTACATAGAAGAGAATGAGAAAAGACAGGGAGAAAAAAAGGGGACTGAGACAGGGAGGAGAGGAAGAGAATGGACTATCCACAATGACCACTGAGCAATGAGGCTGTTGTAGGCTGCCTTGTGCTGGCCCAGAGAGCGATAATCTCATTTCCAAGACATTCCCAGTTTCTAAAATATCTCTCACAATTCACAAGCATCCTAGTTGCTGCCATTTGTGCCTGTCAACCAGTCTTTGGCTCTTCTGAACACAAAGGCAGAAGATCCTGTACTTTACCAGCTTACAGCCAAACAAAGTGGGTCACCCCTACAACCCAAACTCCCCCAAAACCACAAGTTTTTCATGGCTATGCATGTCTCCTAAGCTTTCTTACCTCTAAAGATTTTGTTTCCCTTCTGCGGGAGTGAATCTATTTTTTGACAGAGTCCGTGTGGGTACAGGTCGGGGGCAAGGCTGGCCATCCTTCTCTGTAACCCGGGCAAAGCTTGTCACATGCAACATGCCCAGCACTGTGCCTGTCACAGAATGAGCTCAACAGGTCAGAGCTGCTTTCCCACCTCCTCTGGGGGCTCACTCTGGTGGTGACTTCTTCATTTCCTTGGACCAGACGATGTTATCTTGGATTCCAAGTTTCAGTTCTTGCTACGTAACAGAGATCAATATTTTTTTAAGGGAAAAGTAAGTCTTGCTTACTTCCCGTTGCTTTGATGATGAGGAGCTAAGTTCTCATCTTGCCCTAAAGCTCCAGCATAACCTGTGCCTGCCCATTTCCTCAGCCTAATCTCACTCTGCCCTCTCCTCACTCCTTGCTGGCAGACCTTTAGGCATGCTTTCAATTCTTGGAACATACAGGAGTCTGTCTTGCCATAAAGCCTTGACACATGTTGTTTCTCTACTGGAATATCATTCTCTCTTACCTGTACCCTGACGAATCGCACATAATTGATTACTGTGGATGGTCCTGACCTCAGGTTAATCACCTATTTCTTAGGAAAGCCTTTCTAAACTCATCTAAATGCTCTTATTTTGCTTGCTTTTATACAACTCTGTTTTTAAATCACATTCTTTTCTGTTTGAAATTATACTTTCTATTTCCATGATTGTTTGATCACAACTGTTTCTCCCCACCAGTCTGTAAGTTTTATGAGAGCAGGGACCATGTGTATCATGTTCAGTATTGTATCTCCAGAGCCAGGCATGGCAGCACACATGTGTAGTTCCAGCTACTCATGAGGCTGAGACAGGGAGATCACTGGAGCCCAGGAGTCCAAGGACATAGTGCACTATGAACATACCTGTGAATAGCAACTTCACTCCAGCCTGGGCAACCTAGTGAGATCCCATCTCAAAACAGAAACATTATATCTCCAGCACATGCCACAGCATCTGCATGTACAGAGAGCTCACCAAACATATGTCGAATGGCTGCATACTTAGCTGACCAGTTGCCAAGGTTACCAGTTGGCTACCTCACCTCACTTACCAGGTTATCTGAAAATACTAGAGCCTTGAATCTTAAACCTTAGCATGTATACTGCCCACCTCAGGACCTGGTTAAGATCTGGATTGTGATTCAGTAGGGGCCTGAGGGTCTGCATTTCTTTTTTTTTTTTTTTTGAGACGGAGTATCACTCTTGTTACCCAGGCTGGAGTGCAATGGCACGATCTCAGCTCACCACAACCTCCGCCTCCTAGGTTCAGGCAATTCTCCTACCTCAGCCTCCTGAGTAGCTGGGATTACAGGCACACACCACCATGCCCAGCTAATTTTTTGTATTTTTAGTAGAGACGGGGTTTCACCATGTTGACCAGGATGGTCTCGATCTCTTGACCTCATGATCCACCCGCCTCGGCCTCCCAAGGTGCTGGGATTACAGGCTTGAGCCACCGCGCCTGGCCATGAGGGTCTGCATTTCTAACAGGCTCCCAGATGATGTCCTGGTCTGTGCTGCTGGTCTGTGAAACATGCTTTGACTAGCAAAGTTCCACAACAGAAAATTAGTGAAAGCGATTGAGGATCTGTTTCCCATGATTGCACCCCTAGTTGAGGAAGCTCTGGATGGAATTGGTAGCATCTGGATTGCTTTCATTTTCAAGCTTTTGGGCATGCTGCTGTTTTCTGGCTTCTGGCATCCAGTGCACATAACCCTGTGTCCTAAAAACAATGAGGCCATTACTCTCCGTGATCTGCACATTTCCTTAACACCCAATATTATTCCTGTGCTCCCTGAAGGCACAGCGGTTGATAATGCCAAACTGTCATCTCAGGCTCAGCTTTCACAAGGCATGAAATATATCAGTTCTAATTTTATTTATTTTACTTTACTTTTTTTTGCAAAGGCAGCATCTTCAGAAACTATCCAAGGGTGAAAATTCAATAAAGGGATTTAATTTGAAAAGTTAGCCCTGTCAAAATAAAACTGGGGAAAAAAAAAAAAAACACCAAAAAAACCAACCTACCAGTTGATCAGTTGATAGAGAGGGTCTAAGCATAACACCTGTCCTGTCACAGCATTAAAAGAAAAGAGAGAGAGATTGTCTCAGGAGCCAAGTTTCCAGTTTTAAAAAAAACAAAAACAAAAACAAAAAAACAAGGAGGAGGAAGATGGAAGGAAATAGCATAGAGAAGTCAGGGTAGCAGGGTGTTAGCAAATGTAGCTGGCAAAATTTGGTAGTATACTAATTAAAATCAGGCTACAGTCTCATCAGCTGTACTGGGAATTTCATAGCTCTGTGTTACCTCTTATTTCCTTTTTTTTTGTTTTTTTTGGGACAGAGACTCACTCTATCACCCAGTCTGGAGTGTAGTGGCACTGTCTCCACTCACTGCAACCTCTGCTCCCAGGTTCAAGTGATCCTCCTGACTCAGCCTCCTGAGGAGCTGGGACTCCAGGCATGCTCTACCACACCAGGCTAATTTTTGTATTTTTGGTAGAGGTGGGGTTTTTCCATGTTGGTCAGGATGGTCTCAAACTCCTGACCTCAAGTGATCCGCTTGCCTCTGCCTCCCAAAGTGCTGGGATTACAGGCGTGAGGCACTCCTCCTGGCATTTTTCTTCTCATTTCCTAATTGAGATCCTCTTTTTATTCTCCATTCATTATTGCTTTTTTTTTTTAAAGATGGAGTCGTGCTCTTGTTGCCTAGGCTGGAATGCAATGGCTTGATCTCAGCTCACTGCAACCTCCGCCTCCCAAGTTCAAATGATTCTCCTTCCTCAGCCTCCCTAATAGCTGGGATTACAGGTGCCCGCCACCATGCCCAGCTGATTTTTTTTGTATTTTTAGTAGAGACAGTATTTCTTTATGTTGGCCAGACTGCTCTGGAACTCCTGACCTCAGGCAATCTACCCTCCTTGGCCTCCCAAAGCACTGGCATTACAGGGGTGTGCCACTGCACCTGGCCCCATTCATTATTGTTTACATATATGAGCCCATTGTTTTTATTCTAGGTTGTACACCTTGTAGAGTATATGCCAGATATACTCTAGAATAATATAATGTTTTTTTTTGTTTTGTTTTGTTTTTTGAAATGAAGTCTCGCTCTGTTGCCCAGCATGGAGTGCAGTGGTGCGATCTCAGCTCACTGCAACCTCTGCTTTCCGGGTTCAAGCAATTCTCCTGCCTCAGCCTCCCCAGTAGCTAGGATTACAGGTGTCTCCCACCACGTCCGGCTAATTTTTCTATTTTTGGTAGAGCTGGTGTTTCACCATGTTGGTCAGACTGATCTCAAACTCCTGACCTCAAGTGACCCACCCACCTCAGCCTCCTAAAGTGCTGGGATTACAGGTGTGTGCCACCGCACCCGGCCATCATGTTTTTGACTTTGAAAAAGAAATTATTTTCTGATTTTAGTGTGTTGACATATTTTGTAGTCAAGGCACTGAGACATTTGACACACTTGCCAGCTGGGCTCTTCCCTATGG